ATATAGATACGAATATTTATTGATTATAAATATAAATTTATTTATATGAATATAAGATATTTAATCTGACGCTTAATAGGGGACGAAGTCCCCTGCATATTGCAACTTCTAGTTAACATGTATGTATGCTATTCACTACATTTGCCGCAGTATGCAGTTTTTAATCGTCAAACATTTTCGAGACTAACAACGGCCATCATTTTACGTGCGAAAATCCAACAAAAAATGTTGGCAACTTCCATATTGTCTTTGTTGTGGATAGAAGTGGTTCTATGTATTCTAATGATTGCAAACCAATTTGTTCAAGTTCTGCAACTTAATTGAAGTTATCGCACGACAATCGACTCGGGGCTGTATACGATGCAGTTTTTACCTTTATTAATAGCTGTCGTACCTCACGTAAGGCAACACCTTCCGGGCAAATGACGGTGGACCGCGATACCGTTTCTTTGATTCTTTTTGACAATACTGCTATTACTGCTTTTGAGAATGAAAGTTTATCGAAACCTGAAGAATTAGATGATGAAATATAATCCTAGCGGTGATAATATATATAGTAAGGGTATTAATAAAGCTTCAGAAATTATCAATACATATTACGATGCTTCAAAGTAAGTTCTTTGAATGTATTTAAGTTATTTTGAATATATTTTTAATGGTTTATTTGCGACAATGTTATAGTAGGACGAGCATAATAATATTTTTATCGGATGGTGAATACCATGCTCCGGAATCAGAATTACACAGCCTTTGTGAAAGAGAAGGGTAATATCAAGGCATTTAATTACAAAAATTGGCATTATTAACAATTAAAAAGTTGTTTTATTTTCCTCAATAGATCACCAATTTTTTTATACACCATTATGTTTACCGGAGGCACTAGGCATACGTATTATGGTCAATTGCTTCAACGAATGGCCGATATCGCTTCTGAATACCTAAGACAAACGACAAAGACTCGTTAAAATGTCAATATGTTCTCGCCATGAATCAGACAAAGTTGAATGAACATTTTATCGCGGTGGCTGAAAGTTTACGAAAGCATCGACCAATGTTATTTGAGATAAGGTTTAACACGATATGTAAATTAAAATAAACTAGTCAATAATCAAATGAGTGAATTTTATATAAAAGTATAAAAACTTGCTATTGAATTTTTTTCATAAATGATAAGGTTAAATATTTGTGAATTCGAAGCCAAATAAAATAAATAAATAAATAGCAATCTAGTTCTGTAATCGATATTTTCTTTGTTTTACCTACTATGTATGAATTTGGTATATAATATTTGTACTCATAACTTCATATTTATAATGGTACTTTTAACTGATATAAATAAAGGTTTCATTATGATTGACTCTTTAAATCAATTATTATGATAATATTCGATAAAATTTATAGTGGTAGTCATATAGTTAAAATGTGTATGGAATCTATATATACTATTTGACGCGCCAAAGATAATATCCAGTAAAGATTAAAAATAATACCTGAACTTCAAAATGCATAGTTAAAATATACTGTATACGTATATATTAAACGAGATAAGTTTTGAAATTAAGAACAAACTTTGGTCTTGAATTCAGAGAAAGATCGCTCTTTAAAATTTTCCAATTTAAGAGGGAATATTCTATTTTTATTTTTTTGGCTTTTTTTTTCTATTTCGTATATTTGTATTATTACAACTTTTTAAGTATCTTTTAGTACAACGGATGGAACTGTACTTGTTTGCAACTGGTTATAGCAACAGTTTTTGAACCATATTTAGTGAGTATAAAATCCAGATTTTGTATATATCGATATTTCCCACCTCGGATATCTTATTAATCATTGATTGTGATAAACGAATAATAGATTAGGTAAAGTATCTAGTTATTTGAAATAATTATGCATACTCATTTTAACATATTAATAATAAATTATAACTCATTTTGTGTGGTTTCATAATCAGAACCTATGTGAAGTCACGAAGAAATTTGATAGTGTGCTAAAAATTCAAGTCCTTATACCAAGACAACCGTTCGACAACAAGTTCCTTTTATATAAAATCCCAAAACTATACATTACTACCGCTACGGTTAAATATACGAAAATAAATATATGAAATAGACTATATGAGGACTTGAACTACTAGATTTCTTTGTCTCGAAAATAATAATTCAAAAGGGTTGAACTCCAAAATTCTTAATGTGCGATGTAGTGAACGATAGGCAGACGTTCCTGTACAGATTGGTATGATAAAATATTTTCCTTTTTTATAAATCGAGTCACGAGACTTAGTAAACCTTTGCAATAATAGAAATCATTTTTACTTTAACAAGCAAAATATGAAATTTTCAGGTCGTAAAATGTTCGGATTTAGCATAAACTCATTTTATATTTTTCCCGGCGGTTTCCCCCTCCCTAATGCAAAGGTTTCATATGATCCGTCCGTAACGTAATTTTAATAGTAAAACCGCCAATATTATCACTACCAATCTCTTAGCATCAATTAAAGAATCGCGAGCTTGTATACATGATAAATCTTTGTACTCGTCAATGAGGATGACAATAATAATGTTGTTTTGTTTTTAAGTGACATTTAATAACCTCTTAAATTACGAAGGCGGCAGGGTTCAATGTTTGTCTTCAACAAATCGAATAGTTTAACCTGAAGCCATTGCGACACGCATTCCTAAACATATTTGCTTCTATTTTTTAAGCTAATAAGAAGTACAAGAGCTTCCTTGAAATCGCAGCTTAGATATCTTTTGCTGCGATTTTCCACCCCATGCCTAATAAATTGACGATCCTCGTAGTTGGATCGTGCAAAAGCTTTCTCCTATCATAAAGATTTCTTCCGCAAAGTAAATTTAAAAATAAATCAAGATGTTTCAAAGTAATATATACAATACAGTATTACAAACATGCTCGTTTACGCGTCTGTGACATCCTAGAAAGTGTCGATCGAAACTGCGGTTAAATCATACTGCGGCAAGTGTTATATTTAATTTAGCAAACCAAATTTTCAAAGTCGTCACTTATATCAATCAGTTCTTGAGATTGTCAATAGGAATATAATGAATACCAGATAGATATTTTATTTTATCGCAAATGAAGCACGCCCTAACGAGACTTATATAATATAATCGAGAATTAAACAAAAGGTTTAAAACATTGAATTTTCAGTAAAATACAAAACTGTTCAACAGACTTTTGAATTATTGAAAAAAAAACTCATTTTAGAGTCGAAATCCTACGTTTCTATTTTCTCTTTTAACGTGATTTAAGCGAAAGTAGAAAATACATTTTTTTGTCATCAATTTTCCCTTTAGCCGTTTATTTAATTTTTATTTCTCGTTTTAAGTATAGCTTTTTTTACATATATTAAATAAAAATTATTCACAAAAAAAATCCCTAGATTGATATGTAGCTGAAAAAGGAGTTTAATAATGACCATACGATTATCATTGCTTTAAACTTAAATCAAGACCACGAAAAGGTGATCAAACAATAAAATCATATTTGTACAAGTTTTCCAAGATTAAAAAGAATTCAATTAAGGAACGGATTGTAGATACGTGTATGCAAAAAAATAAAATAAAAATTCTATACCCCATTGATTTTATTCAATCATTCCGTAATCGTATTATTATTTTTATGGGGACCATACACTGGTTATTTTTTATACAAATATATATATATAAGATTCATGTTTATCATTCGATCGACGAAAGAACTTTTGCAGGTAAGTTGGATTTATAAACCGGGCGCTTCGATGTTATTACATATTTACATATGGGATATTATCCCTGTTCAAAATTTTCAAAGATGTTAAATCTAGGAAGACTCATGGGGTTCGAAATTCATAAGATTTACTAAAACTTTAATATCCTTTTTTTTGATACGAAGGAAATGGGGGGTGTACAAAATAAAAAATTCCGCTTTGAGGAATGTTTATTGAATATAGAAATACTGTAATTTTAAACATAAATGTCACTTAAGTTTATAAATAAGTCCTAAAGTGTTAACCAAATCATCACTGGTACCATAAAGGCCAATCATTTCAGATTCAGGCAATTTTAAAATGTGATCATTTCCACCATGTTTACCAAACCATTCACTACATCTACCCAAATTGGTCTTGATTTCAAACCCATCAATATACCATCCAGAATTAACTTTCAATTCGGTAATTTTTTCATTTTCTCCCATAAATCCGAATTCTTTTTTATTACCTCGATCTTTACCAACGGATAATTGTGTACCATCGGACCAAAAGAATGTGATCCCATTAATGTAATAACCATATTTAACAACCATTCTATTTAATTTAACCGGTTTATTTTCGTTAGAGGTAAATTTGTTAAAAAAAACTCGAAATTCGGTTAACCTTTCATCAAGTTTCCCCAAATAAGGGGATTTAATTATCTCTCCATATATAGGTAAAGTCATTTTACTTTCTTTCAAGAATCTTCGTAAGTTATCTAAGGAATTTTCGGTTTGATTCTTGGATACAACATTCAATTTAATGATCCGATTGTCACCATATTTTTCAATAACCTCGGATATTTTTAATCGAACCTCGGTTTGATGATTTTTATATTGAACGTATTCTTTATAATCCCTAAGTGATTCTTCAACGAAAAATTCAATTAATGAAACACCTGAAGGTGATTTAATTAATATAAATTCATTTAAACGCCAAAAGTCAGCAGAAAGATTTTTAAGTTCGATCGATAACGGTGGATCTGAAAGTGAACGGAAACATGGATGATATCTAAACCTTATGATACCACCTCGATGCCAATGAGCTCCATTTTCATCGGACGGTTTAATTGGCGAAGGATTGTTTGGTTCCTTAACCGTAAATGTACGATTTAAATTGTTAAATCCTCGTGCCATAATCCCACTGGGCGCATGAGGTGCTCCCAAACAATGTCCAACTTCATGCAAGAATGCTCCAATTCCGATGTTACAACATTTCCACCAGGTTCCACTCTCTCCCGCATCGTTTGATAATATAGTTTCATCGGTTATGGTATCATCTTGAAAGCAACCAACGACTTCTTCAAGGTGTCTTGGCCAAGCGTGAGTCAAATGACTACCAAAAATTCCTAATTGAATATTACCGCCACCTCCTCCTAACGCGGCATGACCTCTGATAAACTTCATATCAGGTGAATTATCATAGTGAGAATCTAATATCAATCCCGCGACATAGCACTGATTATTGAATGGTATTCCATATTCTTTTAACCCATCCATGAACATGGAGTATAAATCTTTTTTATCGTCCTTTCTATTGGGATTTTGTTGAGCTATATCCGGATCTAAAATCTGTTCTAAAGTGTACGAACTACGAATGATATGAACTTTTGCTGTTTGACTTAATCCAGGATTTTGATTGGAAAGTGTGTCTTCTATCCATTCTTCTTCCAATCTAAACACTCTCCTCCCAAATTCATTACGACTCATTTGCTCTGCTGTGAATGCTTGCCATAAATAACCGGCACAACGAAGTTTCGCTATAACAGAATCTAATTTATTTTCACCAGATCGATCTTTCTCTTTTGGAGCATCTATAACCTCTTTGGAATCCTTTGCCACGAGGATCGCCAGATGTAATGGAGGATTTTGTAATAACGGGATATAATTCACTTGAAGTATCGTTGTAGGTGATTTGGAACCATGTTTATCAAGGATTAGTTTAATATTATTAGATCCGGGGTCAAGATGTACCAAACATTTGAAGTGAGAATTAAAAACTGGCCAAGTTGTGGATGGAAAATTGGTCGCATGATGTTCAACCGTGATGTTTGATTGAAATTTCTCATTACGTGGACCTGCCCGTCCATAAATCAGCAAGACACGCTACATGACAAAAAATCAAAATAAAATAAATGATTATCATTGAAATTAAACTTTGTCGGTTCGATTCTCGATCGATCGATTTCTTTACCAACCTGATGAACCGTTTCCCCATTTTTAACGTTAATTACAACGGGACCTGTGAATACGATTTGCATTTTTTTATAATCTTTTGTTAACAAATCATGAACCTATTTTTTTATTTTTTTTTCCAAAAAAAAAATATGCCACTTATAATCCCGTTTTATTCACCTACCTAAATAAGAATTAATAATTTGTCATATATTCTCGTACGTGTGAAAATAATGAGAATGATCGACATTATCAGAACTCCAAATATAACTTAGCTCTGCTCTATGATAATCTGTCGAATTTTGGACATTAAAAAATTTTTTTGATGTAACGTTATGTAATGATGTAGTCAAATTTCCAGAATTTTGACCTTTTTTTATTATTATTAAGGTCTTTTAAAAATACATTAATTAAAAAAATAAAGTTCGATAAATAAATAATAAACTTGTTTTAAAATATGAATATAATAAGGGTGAATAATCATGTACAGTACATTAATAGTATTAGTATATATACAAATTATTAGCTGATAAATACCCAACCCATTATAAAGTTAAAAATTAAATTAAAATAAAATAAAATAACGATCATAAACTCATAGACCTAATCCTTAAACTCCTATCGTCTTTAATTCCACTCCCTCTTCTTTTGACCCTTTCAGCCATACCACCCCTTTGATTTTCCAAAGGTAGTCCTTTGTAAGTATATCCTTTAAATGCCAATTCTTTTCGCATCCTTAAAATTTCCTTTCCATGATGTTTATCCCTCAACATCGGATCTTTTGGTTTCCTTTCAACTTCACCTCCAGGTGGTGCTAATGGATTATCATCAATGTTATCTTCGAAATATCTCGTATCGATTTCTGAACTTAATTGCGGTCTAAAGGGTGGTGTTTTTTTATGTAAATTCTCCCAATCAATCCCTTTGAACCACGGGTGTAATTTAATTTCTGATGCGTCCCCGAGACCTAAAACAGTTGATTTGCGATTTGCCATATAAAGCCCATTTGGTTTTACTGCTGATGATGTCATTTTTGACCCGAATCGATCTTCTTTTTCACATATAAGATGCTCTATTAAATCCTGGACGTCACGTGAAACTCGAGGACGTGATGGAAAGCGAAGGTATTGACGCCAATTAACTATCTTTTGACGAGTTGCATGACGGGTCTTTGAACTGAATGGAGGATATCCGTACAACATTTCGAAAATGATAACCTTAAAAAAAAAATTTGCGAGTGCTTTAGTCAGTTATTACAACTTTCCTCAAAAAAAAAAATACTAAAATTTTGTGAGTGACTTACTCCTAAACTCCACCAATCACAGCCTCTATTATATCCGGTTCCTCTTAAAACTTCCGGTGCCATATAATTATTTGTCCCGACGACCGAAAATGCCATCTTTTTTCGATGCTTGTCTCTCCAACTTAACACTCTTGTATTAGGAACATCGCTATCAGATACATCCTCATCAGACCATTGATCCATCCATTTGGGTGTTCTATATTTTTTAGCCATTGCCTTTGATAGTGTATCCGTTTCAAGATCAACTCCCGTTTTACGCAAAAGATCTCTTCGTTGCTGTTCATAATATTGTGAATCATGTACCCAATGGAAATCGGTTGCTAATCCGAAATCTGAAAGTCTTATGTGCCCTTCTCCATCGAAAAGAAAGTTATCGGGCTAAATGAAACGAAGAATATTAATTCATTTGCCAAAAAAAAAAAAAAAATAAAATAAAATTCATCTTTAATAAAACTGTGTTAAAAAATTCACCTTAACGTCCCGATGGATATAACCCATTTTATGAGCCTCTTCGATACATAAAACCATTTCAGCAACATAAAATTTAGCAAACTCCTCTTCAAATATATCTTTTTCAATTAAGAGATTTAATAAATCACCACCAGGCATATATTCCATAACCAAATATAAATGATCAGCATCTTGAAAGGAATAATTTAATTTAACAATCCATTGAGAATTCTCTGCGGCTGCAGTTAAAATATCTCTTTCGGCCTTAACATGACCCTCTTGACCCTTCTTCAACATATCAGCTTTTCTCATGACTTTCATAGCATATGTAACACCAGTAGTATGATCACGAACCAATTTAACAACACCAAAGGCACCATGACCAACGGTCTTAATTATTTGAAATGAATTGACCGTAATTTTTCTACGTAATAAACGCATGTAATCGGATTCTAGGTTAAGCCATTCTTGTCTTATCTCCCTTTTATCTTGATCTGAAATTTTCATACTCTCGAGCTCTGTTTCTAATTGCATACGACGCTTGGATCTTCCCGAAGGTTTTTTAAGAATTCCATAGAAATAATTTTCGAAATAAACCTTTGCTGCGACTGATTTTTCAATTGTAGTCAATGAAGGTACTATTTGGTCTAAAAATTCACTATCATTAATAGGTAATTTATCTTTGGCATAATTTTTAATAATAACGGTTCCACTTTTATTTATTTCAATGTCAGGAATTGCCGGTTCCCCATCGATTTGCTTTAAAAACGATTTATAATTTATGGTATCACCTAATATTTTATTTTAAAAAAAAATATATATATAAAATATATTTAATTTCAACCTTTTTTTTTTTTTAAAAAAAAAAAAAAAAAAAAAAAAGATGAATGCTGATCCTTACCAGGAAATTTATTCAAAGTTTGATTTTGATTCAAATAAACTAAAAATTCGGCAGCTTGTTCCCCGCTCTCTGTATGAATAATATGCCTACAAATGGACAAGATAAGTAGTAAATAATTAAGATCAATTTTGAGCAAAACCAGACAGCAAATGACATTATTATTAAAGAAATCTTACTCAAAGTCCTGAGGTGCCGATATATCATCCTTGTTAAAACGCCTCTTCATAAAAGTACCGAAATGTAATGGAACTAATACATTTATGAATATCAAATTAACATAATTTAAAAAAAAAATTTTAAAAATCATTAGAAAACCTCGACCATAGAATTTTTACCATTCATTTTTGTGGCTACATAATCAAGAATTTCATAAAATCTTGGAGATGTTATCGAATTGCGTTTATTTCCCGTTGGAGACTTTGCTCTCGGGGTCAAAGTAGGAAAATTATTAATAGCGACTGACTTTCGTTTAAACATGGTAGAATTATGGAAATGAGAAAAATTATTTAATAAAAAATTTTCGAAAAATCAGGAATTTCGAACTATTAAATAAGGTAGCATAAAGTTGTGTTACTCCATGATGCAATAGGGGCATACGTTATCTTTAAGGGGGATAAAAAGGAGCAAGGGTTCCGAAGTCCATTTGATCGTCCGAACAGTGACATCTTTGATTATTATGTGATTTCCAACTTTAGGCAAAAAAAATAGGGTATTCCATGCGTTCATAACTCGTGTTCATAACTTTAAAATAATGAAGTCATGTGCCTCTTTCATTTGTGATTTGCATTACGAATGACTGTGCCACTATTATCCTTACTTTTTATTATTTGATAAATGGATGCATGATTTTATAATGTTTATATTACAAGAGACAAAGGAGGATTATAATAAATAAAGGGAATGTAAGAAAATAAATTAAATTAAGAAAGAAGTTCAATCCGCCACTGTTAAACATAGGAAAATGTTAGTATTTTTTTCTTTATCTGAAAATAAGTTTAATTTGTACCTTATGAATGTCACTTTGACCATCACCGTGAATGATAACTTCTTGATTTCCGGCAGAATTTTTAAATTCATGACTCTGCAAGGTCATTTTATTAAGATTATGTCGTAAAGTAATTATATCGCCATCCATAACAAAGTCCGGATTATCATAATTTAAAAGGTCATGACTTTGAACGATCCAATTGGTTCTCGGATCTGTTAGCGTCCACACCCATGCTGACATTGAAAATTTAATTAAAGAAAGAACAAAAAAAAAACTGATGTCAATGATTTGATTACCTCCTGATAAATTTAATTGACCTTCGTCACCGAATAATGCTTCTCGTGTTTTTTCATGAACCAATTGAATCATGGCATTAAAAAAAACCGGATCACCAGGCGCTTTATTCTGACCGTAAGTAGCCGTTACGATCCAAACGTCATTATCACTCCGTTTCCAACTACTACAGAACACCTACAATTAATAAAAATCCATTAGATTATGATTTTATACCTCAGTTATTTGTTCTCTTAATCAATTACCTCAGATAAATTTGCTCGCAGAGGATCCGGCTTATGTTTGCTCCCGTGTGATAAATATTGGCTAGTGACGACATGCTTTAATGCTACTCTTGATCCATATCTTATTTGACTTTTATATTCTGTCATGGTATCATGAAAAATCTCAATCACTCTATGCATAGAAGATAGTTTTTTGATCTTACTTATAAAGATATCTCTAACAATATCATCAGGACATGCTTGAACTAAACAAGTTTTTTGATCTTGAACATTTATAACGTGAGAATTAACGCAAAGCGAAAGAAATTTTGCTATAAATTCAACTATGTTCATATCTATATTATATTTAATTCCTTTTAATTCCTCAAATGCCACTTTACACTGTAAAGTATAAGTTATGTGATCTTTTAGAAGGTTCGACAAATCTGAAAACGAAGATATACCTTCCTTTGGTATAGGTATGGTATTGTCGATTTTTAATAACGCTAATTCTAAAATTTCATGCTCTTCTTGAATTCCACGAAGTAAACAAAAAAAACGGAATTCTTTTAACCACTCTTCAGGATTTTGTGTCCCATTATATTTGGGGGGCGATGAGTCCATTGAATGAATGAAAAAACCAAAAAGGATGAAAAAAAAAAATAATAAATGAAAATGTTGGCATTTATATTAAATTCATTTTGATTTAGCCGCATTGCTTTGATCACAAAAAAAAAAATTTGCAAATCAATGAACTAATAATATTATGATTGGTAGTTCAATAATATTTATGCACATTGTATTCGAAGATTTCACCCTTATTGTAAACAGTTTCAAAACAACAAAACAAATTTCTTTACCTGCCGTTTATAGTAATAATAAACTTTTTAATTTTTGGCGGTTTGCATAAATATATTTATTTGGAGTGGCTTATGAATCTTTGTTATTAAATTTTCTAAATCCAGATTGTATGCGATATTATTTATTATTTACAAAAAAGTAATCACATAATTTATTGTACCCTAATAATTATAAAATTTGCGCACGCGCATCGAATTCATCCTGTCTAAGAGCAATGTTTGAATATGATATCATTGATGCACTTACCATGCTGCAACTCATTATTCATTTTCTAATTTAAATTCGTTGAAGCTCTCGATAGTTTTTTTATTTATGGAGATTTCAAAAAGTTTTGTCCTCTCTCTTCTCTCCACTAATTCTTGAATTTTTAATTTAGTTTCGTAGTCAAATTGTCCATCATCCCAAAAAAAATAAATGAAATTTCTCTTGTGATTCATCATCAATCAGGCGAGCCACATAAAAATCATTTCCCGTTCTACTTTGATAAGGGGGAGAGTATTGACTGCGCCCAAATTTAGATCGCCGCGGTATTAACGTCCCTAGAAAGAAATAGTTTTATTAAAAAGGAAGACTTTTCGCTTTGGATTTTTTTAGATAGAATTAGATAGAACTACATTCTCTTTGGGCCTATTACCGAGTGCGGGCAGAGGCAGTAATAATTGCATTTATTGTATTATTTCGCATATATATTTAATAAATTTATTTCCTTTTATTTCCTTTAATCAAAACTTTATTTATTTATTTATTCAATTGATTTACAATTCGCTATAATACATTGTGTTCTATAAAATACATAATAAACATAAAATCACCTCTTTACGAATTTAGAAGGTAACAATAGCATTGATTGCTTTTATGAAATTTTTAAATATGGAAATGGAAACCATTTGTAAAACAGTGAGACCTCTCTAAATGCACCCTTCCTAAATGCACTCATTATATATTTTTCTATAAATGCACACATATGCACACATTCCACACAGCTCTAAGATTATAAAGATCATACAAAATTTCTCTCTTTAAATACACACCCTCTTTAAATGCATATTTTTTCAAATTTTCACTATGGTTCCTATGGTTCTAAGGAAGGATCATTTGGAGAGACCTCACTATACTTGTTATTTTTTCAAATGAATAAGAGACAAAATACAGTAGGATATCAAAAGTCACCAGATACTTCAAATTAAAAAATTGACAAACAAGTTCATTCAAATAAAACTTTTTATTTTATTAATTTAATCACTTTTGAAATATTAAGTAAAGTTATGCATCATAACAAATTATATAATTTAAAGTCTTTATAGATATCTGATCAATAGTAAAATTTATATTATACATTTAACTTGACATTTCTGTATTTTAATACCAAATTTCAGGTATAATAAAAATATAATTCTAATCTATTTTTAAATAAGTTTACTTAATAAATAAAAATGATTATAGCTAAAAAATTATATGTTAAATTATAACTGAAATTTTATATAAAAATACGAAAATATCACATTAATTATATAATATAAATTTTATTACTGATTAGATAACTATAAAAACTTTAAATTGTTATATATATATAACTTTACTTACAGCTAATTTATAATTCATGAACTATTAATAATTTTTCAATCGTATTCAATCATAATATTTTATTGTAATATATTATAAAATATTTTCAGTTTACTAGTTGAAATCATACTAATATCTTTTAGTAAACATTCAGCCAATTCAGTCATGTAATTTGGCAAAAATTCAGCTTAAATTACAAAAATTAATAATTATTTAGGATCTTTGCAATAGAAAAGATGAAACTGCCAGAAAAACAAAAATAAGTTAATGCTAAATTTGAATATATTTCAACCTAAAAATCATATTTGGTATATAAAAATAAAATAGATTTTCCCAGTAGTTTCCCTCCTTTCTACTGCAAAAATCCCATTTGTTATACTACACATAATTTAACATTATTTTAGCATTAGACCTTTCAATAAACATTTAGCTAATTCAGTCATATGATTCAGAAAAATTCAGTTTAAATTACAAAAATTGATAGTAATTTGTTACATCACACATAATTTAGCATTATTTCAGAATTAAACCTTTTATTCAACATTCAGTTGATTCAGTCATATGGGATGAGTACTGGGAAAATGGACCAAATTGATTTTTTTTTTAAAAAAAAGTTTCTAAGTAAAATAGATGTAGATTTGATCATCTGATTCAGATCATTTGTTATTTCAAAAAAATTTTTTGTTGATTTGATCCCTTTTCCCAGCACTCACCCTATATGATTTGACAAAAATTCAGCTCAAATTATAAAAATTGATAATAATTTGTGACACTACACATAATTTAGCATTATTTTAACATTAAGATCTTTCAGTTATAATATTTAGCAAAATTTCAGCTAGACTTAAGATTTGATAACAAATCAACTGTTTTTTACTGGTCAAAATCTGTTGAGCTGATTCTGCAAAATTATAAAAATATTTTGAAAGTAATAATCCTAAAGAAAATGTATTATCATTCTGAAAAACAATTTTATATCATTCTATTATAACAATACATTATTTTCTATAAGAACGATTTTTGTTATTCCTTTAGAATGATTTTTATTAATATTCTGAACAATATTGGCAAATGACCTTAAAATAACCTTAAAATAACCTCAAATGATCTCAAATGACCTCACTTTTATTATCAATTTCAAAAGAATGATTTTTTCATTGTTCTTAAGAAACAATTCATCAACATTTTTCAAAAAGAACAATATTTTTATCATTCTTTTGAAATGATATATCATCATTCTGAAAGAACAATTATTTTTTTATTGTTTCTTTAAAATGATATTTCGTTATCATTTTTAAGAAATGATCAAATTATTATTCTTTTCAAAAGGTTTTCTATATCATTTCAATCAGATGATGCAAAATCATTCATTTGAAGCATTTATGATAAGTAATAAATAATATCTAAATTTTGGATTAATCAAAAATTTAGTTCAGTTTACAGTATAAAACTAATAAACTTACAGAATATTCTGAATAAAATTTTTTTTTTTTTTTCCTTTTTTTTTTTCTAGTAAGGTGATTTTAGGACTTTTTCCTTTCTTTTTTCTTGTTTTGGAATTAAGGTAAGCGAATCAGAAGTGACTTTTGTGGCATTTTTCTTTCTTTTTTCTTGTTTTTTAGGAAATTCTTATTTTGGGAATTAGGGTAAACTAATCGAAAGTGACTTTTAGATGGTTTTTTAGGAAATTTCTCTTTTCGAAACTAAGGTAAGCCTTCTAGAGGTGATGTTTAGATGGTTTTTAACTATTTTCTTTGTATTCTTATCTCTTTTTCATAATTACTTAGTTTACAATTTAAATTGAAAACTTGTTCTATGAGTAAGCTCAAAATGTTGTTCCATCCATTCAAATTTATTTTCAATTAAATAATTTTGTAAATAATCAACTAATTCTTGGAGATGTAGCTCATCGGCAGCAACCAATACTTTTAAAATATCGGAAGTATCTTGTTCGTTTAATGAAACAATTCCACCATAAATGCACCTACATCATAAAAATTTATGATCATTTTAAGATGACGAAAGAACAAAATTGTTTGTTTCAGGATTATACTTACTTCAAAATAATTTGAGAAATATTTGGCAACTTAATATGAACTAGGACGTTATCATTATTCTTTTTATTGGAAGACAACTTTCGTCGCAAAAATGTATAACGGTAACGCAATATGTTCATATGCGCGCGAAATATTTTCACATTCGGATCTTTTCCAACTTCAATTGTAATATCATAATATTCATCATCATCTAAATCATCATCATCATCTAAAATTTCAATATAATTTTGGCTTTAACTTGGATAACGAAAATCATGCTTAAATAGTTCGTGTAACGGTCACATCAGGCTCGGCATGTGTCACATATACCCTTTTGTATGCAAATCAGATCGATTTAAACAATTTATGAATTAAATAAATATTCATCAAGAGCGATTTTTCGTTTACTAACTACGCTTACTCATCATCTTTAATTCTTTTCTCTTTTTTTCTCCATATTTACTTTCACTCATATCTACCATTTTTTATTTTTTTTTTGTTTCAATGAGGAAATGATTTAACAAATGCTCCAAGAAGTATCGTAAGAGAATTTGTAGAAAAACATAATGGTCACATTATCACAAATGGTATAACGGTTGTTAAGAGAGAGATTAGATCTATTAGAAAATGGTCTTATGTGATGAAAGGTCCATACAGTTTACTGTAATGGCTACTCCTGAAGTTTTAAAGATTAATGCTGAATATATTCGTATGGCCGATCAATATATCGAAGCACCTGGTGGTCCTAATAATAATATTACGCTAATGTTTCATTAATTGTTGATATCGCCGAACGTACTGGGATTTCCTATCATGATCAAAGCTTCAGAAGGTGGAGGAGGAAAAGGAATTAGTAAAGTGGAAAATCCAGATAATTTTAAGCAAGCATTTGCTCAGGTTCAAGGTGAAGTTCCTGGTTCACCGATTTTTCATCATGCGACTTGCTCGAGATGCTCGTCATCTCGAAGTTCAAGTTTTAGCGGATCAATACGGAATGCGATCTCCTTTTTGGAAGAGATTGTTCTGTTCAAAAGTCGTCATCAAAAGATCATTGAAGAGGCTCCCGTTAAAATTGCAAAACAAGAGACATTTGAATCGACGGAAAAGGCTGCTGTCAGATTAGCTAGATTAGTTTGTTATGAACTGTTGAATATCTTTAGTCATGAGAAAGATTTCTTGAATTAAATCCAAGATTACAGGTTGAACATCCTACGACAGAAATGGTTTCAGGTGTGAATTTACCTGCTGCTCAATTACAAATCGCTATGGGAATTCCACTTCATCAAATTCGTTCCGAGATCGATTTGGATTTTTCGGATCCCGAGTCTCTTCAAATTCAAAGGAGACCTGCACTAAAAGGTCATGTAATAGCCGTTCTTATAACAGCGGAAAATCATGACGCACCAAGTAGTGGTATGGTGCATGAACTTTATTTTCGCAGCAGCACGAATGTTTGGGATATTTCTCGGTTAATTCTGCCGGTGGCCTTCACGAGTTTGCTGATTCTCAATTTGGTCACATTTTCGTTATGGGGAGAATCGTCAACAATCTCGAAAGAATATGATAGTCGCGCTTAAGGAATTGTCGATTCGTAGGGATTTTAGAACCACGGTAGAATATTTAGTCAAAATTGCTTGAAACCCAAGCTTTCGAAGATAATAGTTTTACAACGGGATGGTTGAACATGTTAATATCTGATGAAAATCTAACGGCCGAAAAGCCTGATAAAATGTTGGCTGTGATATGCGGTGCGCTTATACAGCAGCCATGGAATCCATAATGGAATATTAACGCTTCTTGGAGAAAGGACAATTCCTTAGCAGAAAGATATATTGCGCACCGTCTTCATCATCGATTTCATTTATAAGGCGTCCATTATAAATTTACCACTACTAGATCAGCTCCAGATTCTTTCACGCTTTACTTGAATGGATCAAGGGTGCAAGTTTCTGTTCGATGGTGGGTTATGGAAAAAGTCATACTTGTTATTTTCGCGAAGAAGGTCAAGGAATAAGATTGATAATTAACTTGTTTACTTGAACAAGAAAATGATCCAACACAACTTCGTCCACTTTATCCTGGAAAGCTTGTGAGATGTTTGGTGGAGTCTGGCGATCATGTAAAAAGGTGATCTTACGCTGAAATTTAAGTAAGTTTTACAATTTTTATTGATTAGTAAAAGAATCATTTTAAGTATTATTTTTTTATATCAGCTAAATTATTTATTTTAACATTGATATTATTCGGTGATGAAAATGTACATGCCGCTTATCGCAACAGAAGATGTTATTGTTCAATTTATAAAACAACAAAACTCGACGCTCGAATGACCCTAGTCGTCACGCGTTATCTTTTGAATGAGAATTTCCTGCAATGAATTCGCCCGTTCTAGTTGATGACAAAGAGATATTGTAAGGTCAAGCATATTGAAGGCTGCAGTTATAGATAGTCATTATGGAGATGATGGTTATGATGGTTATGATTACCGAAGCCCAAGTTATGATTCTCTCAAAGAATTAATTGATACGCGATTTGCTGTTTTCGTAGTTCTTCCGAATTCCTTTTATCATCAAGATAGTTGGGTTGGGCTTGCCGTATTAGAAGTTTACGCCTGACGCGCTTATCGTGCCTATCAAATTATAAACGTTGAATACCACACAGATCAGTAGTGCTACGACTGATAGTCCAACTGGTTCGTTGAAAGCCCCTTGTTTTTTAGTATGAGACGTTCATCTTCATCAGATTCAATTATTTGATTCCGAAAACCAAGAATGAACCATTTCGTGTTGACGCCATGATTTCCTGCACTTTGAATGAAGAAATAGAAAGAAATATACCACGAATTTTACAACTTTTTCCAAAAATACAAGTTGTCCAAGAATGGAAATTTAGGATCCATCAGATAGAAACAATATAAATAATGTTTTGAACATCGCTTTAAGGCTGAAAGATGATGCTAAGCTTTGAAAAAAAAACAACTCAAACCCCTTATACAACGACATTCTTATGAATTACGTGAACATGGGATACTATTGTCCTATTTCGTAAAGGTCAATATCCGAGGTATTTCACGTTCTGTGAAACAACAGATTTTACTGAGGATCAAACAATTCGTCAGCCATGGCCTATCAACTTGAGCTTACTAGGTTATCCAATTTCGATATTACTTCTTGCTATACCGACAATAGACAAGTTCGCGTTTATTATGTCGTTGGTAAAGAAAATACTTCGGATTGTAGATTCTTCATTTGATCCTTAGTTCGTCCTGATCGGTTGCGAAATAGCGTGCGTACGACGGATTATCTAATCTCGGAGTCCGACAGATTATTGAATGAGATTTTGGATCGTTAGTTCAGAACATAAGAATTCTGA